TTTATTTAAAAACAATCTTATCGTAAATTAATGAAATAACATAGTTGTCGCATATCGCATTGGTTTCGCGAGGAAAAGTTACCGCTGGTGTGCGGGTGGGTTCCGGGTGGGTTTTCCAATAATCGCTACGACGGTAACTTACGGCCCTCTGTAAGATAGACAACCCACACTCTCGCCTGTATTCGGTGCAGTATAACTACATAGTGCGCTGGTCGTCCAGAAAGTACGCTAGGTTTCCTCATATTCATTGGGTATATTGTAGGAGCTGGGCGCCTGCGAGACTCCAGGTAGGCCACCGCGCGGTACTCGCATGCGGTCAGGCAAGATGGTGCCTACGTAACAGGCGCTATGAGAGCTTGCATGGGGCTAAACTTCACAAGTTCATGACGGAGAATGACGAACGTACTTTCTGGATAAACCTTTATCAGACCTGGTACAACTGAGGAAAATGGTCTCGTAACTTAAAAATATATTTTAAAACTGACTACCTTCAAAAATTTACGACACCCCACTTCTGTCCGTTGTTGAATTCCAAATCGATTTACGTAACGGTTACAATTTTACAAATTTTAAATTGAATTTTTACGCCACGCTTCATGAAATTTTTTCCAACTATTTTTTTATTTTTTTTTACAACGCACAGAATAGGAAAATAAGAGGGCCACTCACTAAGTGGCAAGATTTACGGCGGGAGGTGTGTCTGCCACGCGCCTCCCCCAGGGCGCAAGTCTCCTACCTTCTTGTTACCGCTGGAGCGGAGCGCAATGGCCGTGTCCCTCGGCGCGCGGCGGCCAAGTTCACTGACCCGCTCAACCTGCCAAAGGCTGCACTGCGGTGCGCCCGCCACGCCACTCCCACGCGCGCGTGTACCGAAGAGTGTCGCGGGGCCATAAAGCGGCATAGTGCGCGCAGTGCAGCCACCGGCAGCACTTTACGCCCCTCTTTATTTACACCTCCGCTGGTTTTATTTGGCCGGACGCGAGCGCGACCCCACCCACCGGCCACACTCCTACATACACGATACAAACTCATTGACTTTTTAAACTCAAAAGTGTAAGTATATTTGTGACATGCACGGAAGAACTAATATATCAAGTAATTTTGAGATGGACAAGAAATTCGCTGTAGCAGCTAATAATTGGCTGCCACAGTCAAGAGTTCATAAGACGCCAATTCTTGGCGTCCACAAAATGAACGCCAAGATTTGGTGTCATAAGACGCCAATGTTTTGGCGTCAAAAGACGCCAACCCATTTACAGTGATTAGTTGCCACAGCGAAGCTGTCGCTGCAGGAGCGAAGTGGTTTGTTCTCAGAACAAAGCGCGGTTGGCACCTGCACCAACAGCTTTGCTGTGGCAACTAACTCTTGACTGTGGCAGCCATTATTATATACCACACCTAATTTGTTAGTTCTAAGGACTATTTTTTTCGTGTAGTATCGAAGGGAGAAATGACTTGGGGATAATCCGATAGACATGGCATGCGTCAATCCGGGGATCGTCTCGCGCGGAGGTATTCAGGGTGTAAGCCGCGAGGGGCCCCCACTAGCCAACTCGTTGTTCACCTATTTAGGGAGCGGAACACTGTGTAAAATAGTTGTAAGGTTTACAGGAAATTTTTCCTTGAAGCAAGTTGTAAAATGACAATTTGTAATCGTAAAAATACATGCTGTACGTATCGACTTAAAGCGCATTGGTAAAAACAGTGCTCTCGTAAATTTAACTTAAATTATAATTCGAGCAAAAAATGTGTAAATTTACGACGATATTTTTCAGTGTAATGCGGTAATCCGTTAAACCGGGTGTTTCATAAAAGACGTAGGTGCGGGCGGGTTTGTCTACCCAAGGAGCTATGGCGCCTTACGGGCAGAGCAGAGCAGAGCGCGTAGGCAACCCCACCCGCACCTGTGTCTTTTATGAATCACCCGCTACACGAGACCTCAGAGTCGCTGTCCCCTCGTAAAGTTCAACTTAACTAGTCGTTAAAGAATATGTAACGCGCATGAACCCGTGTTGGCGGGCTGCCTATACTCTACACTCGTTCGAAGCCATTAGACGCCATGGTTAGAGACCATATTTCAAATTTCAAACGTTTCAAACATACAGCTACACCGTCCCCGACGGGCATGTTCAGGGACGCGTGCCGTCCCAGCGGCCGAGGCGAGGGTGGTCCGATGTACCGGTCCATGGGACGAGGGGGGTTGACCTGAGCGTGCCTGCGTTCTAAAATGAGCAGTTCAACTTCATTGTCTACTGTGGCAGACGGCCAAAAATTAGAGAAAGGCGCGCTTCGGCGGTCGGCTTTGGAGAGAAAGGGGGAAGGGGAATGGGTGCGCGGTAGACGAGTAATGACAGGGCAAGGTCAAGACCGTCACGATTGTGTCTAGCGTGGGATGCGGGGCGCCCCGCGGCGGCCCAGCCCAGAGCCTCGGCTAGAGCAGAGCGGAGCAGAGCGGAGCACAGCGACACGGATACGGCGCCCTGAGTGTCGGTGTGCCCCTATCATTGTCACGCCAATATTGCATGCTGGACGCGCTCACACGCACGCACACACACACACACACACATTCCTAGAGCCTTATTGCCGCCAGATCTAGGCCGCGAGTCGAGTCCAGACCCCTGAGCGGCGCGGGGAGGGGGAAGGGGTGTTGGTAACATGCCTGCCTGCACAGGTGATAGTAGCGTCCTTTCGCTTTTTTTTCTTACGAGATTATATTTTTCGACGATCCTCACAATCTTTACCTTGCCAAATCTCCGAAATTCCATTATATTATGAATTTCAACGCCATGTAATGCTTCAATCTATAATTGCATTTACTCCTTCAAGTGAAACGCAACATTTTTATTATTTTCTAATGACGCTGGGGGCGACAGCAGAGGACATTCACTCCCCTGCTGGTCCAGGCAGGTGGGGCCAGGTTGAGCCGAGAGGGCGCTATCTATCCGGGAAGCTGCGGTGCGCGTTGAGCTTGACAGCTGAAGCAGGTGGTGGTTGTGCTACACCGCTACCGCTGCTCCACGGCGAGCACGACCAGAGAATGACTCACACCAGAGGCCGAATAACCCCGCGCACTTGTGTTTAGTTATACTGCGGTTGCCTATCCGCTCGGGGCCGCGAGGCGCCGTACGGCCATGGTCAACGACGATACGCAAACACGTGCGCACCTATGCATGCGGTGGAGTCTGAGGTGGTTGTTAGCACAAACGAAATTAACAGTGGGGATTAAAAGCCGCAACGTCCGTCGGTCGTCGATGGCTATTGAGGACCAAAAGCTTTACTGCCGACCACATGACAAACGATATGCCTCCTTCTTCCCCCTCTCATTTGCCAAGGCAAGTCGGTTGGTGCGGAGGGCGCGCAGGTGAATCATTCCCCCCATTGTCCGGCCCGGCCCCCGGCCCGCGGCCCGCCCTCGGGGTGGTGGGCAGTCGCGCCTCTGCCGGTGCCGGGCCGGCAGGACGGTGTCCGGTTGCAGCCTAGCGCCGCCTAGCGGCCAGTGACTGAGGCCGCCGGGGTGCTTGGCCTGCCCGCACGCCCGCCTTAGCGCCCGCCTTAGCGCCCGCTAATGGACCGCCCGTCCCGGCCGCGTCCGAAAACACCCCGCCGCCACCGTTCCCGCGGCCGCGGCTCGGGGTGGAAGAGGCGCGCGGAGAGCAGCGTTCGGCCGCAGCCCGCGGGGAGTGCCGCACCCCCGTCCCGGCCGGGCCCCGGCGCGTGCCCCTCTGGTTAGGCCCGCCTGGCCCGCCTAGGGGCCCCTGGCCGACCGACGCCTTGCCGACGCTCGCACTCCCTTGACTCGACCGCGAGTCCACCAGAACCAGGGTCGCCGGGAGCACAGGGTTTTGCCCGGTGTTGCCAGAGAAGTGGCCAGAATGAGGGACACACCACAGGGACACACCACACACAGAGGTGGGCTACGTCTGCGCCTGCCTACTAGGCAACATCTTCCAAGGCGTGGCGAAAGTTTGCCTAGTTGGCGCGGACGGGTGCAGCTCGCTCTACGCCTCCGTGTGTCTCTCATTTTGCCTACTTTCCGCGGGCAACGCTCGTTTTTCCTAACCGAGAAGAGACAATGGTCAAAAAAAGTTTCGGATCCTCCGGAAGTAGAAGATCTATCCAAACTAACAACAGTTTCGTTCGAAATCTAAAATCATTAAGTTTATTCTTCATGAAAACTTTCACAAGAGATCAACATAATTTACCAAACTTCAAAAATATCACAAGGTTTCGAAAATTACACGAAATTTTGAAAGAAATTCATAAAAATTCACATGGGTTGTCTGTCCAACGGACTCTAGCGGTTTTGAAGTTATAGAGTACCGCCACCGTGAGTACCGCACTGAGGTGCGTTGGAAGGCTGCCTACTCGCTGTGGGGGAGGGGTTGGTAGACAAAATGGCAAGCAGGACGCAGGCGGGGCCCTGTTGCTGCTACTATCGGTCGAGCATATAGATGCGGAGCAGTGCGGCTGATCGCGTTTATCACCCCGCTCCTGCCCCCCCCCCCCCTCTACGTAATGTGCGCCTGGACCCGGGGGTGGGCGTGCGCTAATGCATCGCATGGGGAAGTGGACCGAGCGAACACGCCGCAGCATCTCGCCGGGGCGTCCGAGTCAATATAACGCCCAGCCGGGCCGATCGACGGAACACGCAAGTTCCATTTCGGCAGCAGGCTGCTTCTGCCGGTGCCATTGGACGCCGTCGCGGAGTCGGAGTGCGGCGGGGGCGGGGGACGGCGGGGTCAAGCGTTTTGGCGAGGTGGTGCGGCTCCCTCCTGCAGGCCACGCCAGCCGGCTTCGCGGGGCAGACGATATGGACTTTATGTTCCGTGCTCCGCCTCCTTGACCCGCTGCCAGTGTGTGTGCGCGGCCGATACGGTCCATAGGCGACTCCTCCGCGATGTCCGCATCTCCCTCCTTGATCGACCCTGGACGCGCGCGCGCGTGTGTGCGAATGGTGCAGGACCCGTCTGTCTGTGTTGGTCGAAGGCCCGCGCCTCCCCTTAAACTGACGGAAGGGGGGGAGGCAGTGTGTCTGAAGAAATCAAGCCGCTATTGGCCAAGACTTCGACAATCCTCTCCTTCTGTCAGCTCAGACAGGGGG